GGGTTTAGGGTTTCGGGTTTAGGGTTTAGGGTTTAGGGTTTAGGGTTTGGGTCTAGGGTATAGGGTTTAGGGTATAGGGTTTAGGGTTTAGGGTTTAGGGTTTAGGGTTTAGGGTTTAGGGTTTAGGGTTTAGGGTTTAGGGTTTAGGGTTTAGGGTTTAGGGTTTAGGGTTTAGGGTTTAGGGTTTAGGGTTTAGGGTTTAGGGTTTAGGGTTTAGGGTTTAGGGTTTAGGGTTTAGGGTTTAGGGTTTAGGGTTTAGGGTTTAGGGTTTAGGGTTTAGGGTTTAGGGTTTAGGGTTTAGGGTTTAGGGTTTAGGGTTTAGGGTTTAGGGTTTAGGGTTTAGGGTTTAGGGTTTAGGGTTTAGGGTTTAGGGTTTAGGGTTTAGGGTTTAGGGTTTAGGGTTTAGGGTTTAGGGTTTAGGGTTTAGGGTTTAGGGTTTAGGGTTTAGGGTTTAGGGTTTAGGGTTTAGGGTTTAGGGTTTAGGGTTTAGGGTTTAGGGTTTAGGGTTTAGGGTTTAGGGTTTAGGGTTTAGGGTTTAGGGTTTAGGGTTTAGGGTTTAGGGTTTAGGGTTTAGGGTTTAGGGTTTAGGGTTTAGGGTTTAGGGTTTAGGGTTTAGGGTTTAGGGTTTAGGGTTTAGGGTTTAGGGTTTAGGGTTTAGGGTTTAGGGTTTAGGGTTTAGGGTTTAGGGTTTAGGGTTTAGGGTTTAGGGTTTAGGGTTTAGGGTTTAGGGTTTAGGGTTTAGGGTTTAGGGTTTAGGGTTTAGGGTTTAGGGTTTAGGGTTTAGGGTTTAGGGTTTAGGGTTTAGGGTTTAGGGTTTAGGGTTTAGGGTTTGGGGTTTGGGGTTTATGGTTCACGGTTCAGGGTTCAGGGTTCATGGTTCAGGGTTAAGGGTTCAGGGTTTAAGGTTTGGGGTTTAGGGTTTGGGCTTTGGGCTTTGGGGTTTGGGGTTTATGGTTCACGGTTCAGGGTTCAGGGTTCAGGGTTTCGGGTTCAGGGTTCAGGGTTTATGGTTTGGGGTTTGGGGTTTACAGTTCACGGTTTTGGGTTCATGCTTTAGGTTTCAGGGTTCAGGGTTCAGGGCTCAGCGCTCAGGGCTCAGGGCTCGGGGCTCAGGGCTCAGGGTTCGGTGTTCGGGGTTAGGGGTCCGGGTTCGGGGTTCAGGGTTCGGGGTTCGTGGTTCGGGGTTCGGCGTTTAGGGTTTGGGGTTTGGGGTTTGGGGTTTTGGGTTTGGGGTTCAGTGTTAAGGGTTTAAGGTTCAGGGCTCAGGGCTCGGGGTTCGGGGTTTGGGGTTCGGGGTTTGAGGTTCAGGGTTCGGGGTTTGGGGTTCGGGATTCGGGGTTCAGGGTTCCAAGTTCACGGTTTACGGTTAAGGGTTCAGGGTTTAGGTTCTGGGCTCATGGCCCAGGGTTTAGTGCTAAGAGCTCAGGGTTCAGGGTTCAGGGTTCAGGGTTTAAGGTTGAGGGTTTACGGTTTAGGGTTTGGGGTTTGGGGTTTTGGGTTCGGGGTTCAGGGTTCGTGGTTCAGTGTTCGGCGTTCAGGGTTCACGGTTCACGGTTCACAGTTCAGGGTTCGGGGTTCAGGGTTCACAGTTCATGGTTCACGGTTCACGGTTCGGGGCTTAGGGTTTAGGGTTCAGGGCTCAGGGTTTAGGGTTCAGGATTCTGGGTTCAGGGTTTTGGGTTTAGGGGGTTTATGTGGTTTAGGGTTTTGGGTTCAGGGTTCGGGGTTCGGGGTTCAGGGTTTGGGGTTTAGGGTTTAGGGTTTAGGGTTTGGGGTTTGGGGTTTTTGGTTTAGGGTTTACGGTTTAGAGTTTAGGGTTTGGGGTTTAGGGTTTAGGGTTTGGGGTTTGGAGTTTGGTGTTTGGGGTTTAGGGTTTGGGGTTTGGGGTTTAGGTTTTGGGGTTTAGGGTTTAGGGTTTAGGGTTTGGGGTTTGGGGTTTTTGGTTTAGGGTTTACGGTTTAGAGTTTAGGGTTTGGGGTTTAGGGTTTAGGGTTTGGGGTTTGGAGTTTGGTGTTTGGGGTTTAGGGTTTGGGGTTTGGGGTTTAGG